ATATACCGGAAAACTGACCTTTCCGGAAGACTCGGTGCCATGTGAGGCCGAGAGCCATCCGTCTGCTGGAGACACTTATAATCAGACAAAGAGAAGCTTTCACGCTGGTTAACAGCAAATGTGCCACCTACTAAAGCCGCAGTCTCAGAAGCACATTCTCGGCGCCGTCGGGGCTGTGTCTGAAGAACGTTTCTTTGGAAGATCGGGCTCCAGGGTGTTAGGATCTGCGCAGGAGGAAACCCGGGTGGCCGGCATCGCCCTGGGCAGACGGCACGCTCCGGGCACACAGCCAGGCCGTGAGCCGACGCCTTCCCCACGACAGTGGAGCCGGGCTGCTGCGAGAGGCCTGGCCACGAAGCCTGTAGACGGGACCTGGAGGCAGTCGGTTCCACGTGTCCCCTCGGCCGGGCCACCATTCTGCTTTCAGTCACCTCATCGAGGCGTTACCATGAGGGGACTTGTGGGTGCGGTTAACGTTGAAAATCGGATGCCCTGGACAGCCTGACGGGCAGCACTGAGGCCTCCCCAAGAAAGAAGTCCTGCCAGGGAAGGCAGGTCACCTCCTTCCCAGGACCTCCCGCCAGGAGCCCTGACATCAGCTGCTGTCGTGAAGCCAGTTCCCTGCCGTAAATAACTCCCCCAATCCACGTCACTATGAATAAATGTGAACACAGGCCACCCTACTGGCTCTGTACCTCTGGAGGAAGCCAGGCTGGCACTTGGTTAAACACCTTAGTAGACATGTAGAGAAAACGGCCTGCGTGGCGCCTGCACCCGAGGCGCAGAAAGACGGCTTTTCCCTGCCTGGGAATTCCATCCTCCCACAGCGATGACCTTTACTGACTTATTTTAAATGGCCTGAAGTACTGGGCTTTCTAGGCTTCGTCTTGCTTTGTTTTGTTACCAGCGTCCCGACCTTTTCTGTTCTTTACTTTCGTTTCCATCTTCTGGCCAGTTCAGAGGTGGGGGAGGCGGACAGGCTGCTTCCGCAGCATCTGAGGAGACCCTGCCTTTCAGAAGAAATTGGAAACGGTGGGCACCATGGTGACACTGCAGCCCGTGGTCCACTCTGCCGTCTAGAAAAGCAGAGGCTCCACTGATGAACGACATGGAGAGATGGCTCAGGGACACACATCGCTGTCTCTTGGCGGGGGTGCCAAAGAGCAGATGCCCCCGAGACCCGCGGAGCCGCTCGAGGACACGTCCTTCATCACGCAGCACATGCCTGGCAGCTTGGAACCCGCTACTGCAAGTGAGGTTCTGAATTGTTGAGGTGAGGGTCGAGGTGTGACGAAAGAGGACACCGACTCTCCAGCCGCAGCCATTCTGCACAAGAGTGGCCGTCTGGGCAGGCAGGACCACCCAGCACACAGAGCAGCAGCAGATGGCAGCTGGTGACTGGCGAGACACCTGATTGCTCATGCCTCGATATCCCCATCTCACAGCGTGCTGCTCTGTGTGCAGGGAGAGCATGGATGCCGTGTGCTGCATGGTGGCCCTGCACTGCCCAAAGACCTGGGTCTGATACTAATGACCCTTGGGCAGCTCCAAGGCATGGGCACCGGGCAGCCAAGGGGGACCCGGCCTGGCACCCCATCTCCCCAGAAGGCCAGAGTCGCACTCATGAGGATCTCAGTGCAGCTCTGAACACACACGACATTGGGTCTTTCTAGGACTCCCGATCCTTCACCCAGGTTAACTCTGGCTCTGGGACTGGGGCACCTGTGCCCCCGGGTCCAGACAGTATGTTCAGGGGTGGGATGTGTGCAACCCATCTGTCTCAAATGCTTACCCCTCAGAGGGTGCCCCAAAGTGCCTGGAACCCTCCACGAACCCCACCAGGACAGCAAGGGAGTCTGTAGCATGATAACCTCTTCCTTTGGAGCCTGAGGGGCGCAGCCTGGGGCCCACACAGGGTGGGACTGAGGCTGGCGGTAGGGCTTCTCCAGGGCTGCCCGGGGCCTGCCTCCCGACAGCGTCTCTGTAAGGTCTGCCTCGGAAGCCACCTCTGTGGCATCAGAGACTCCAGAGCCGGCTCTGCCCACTCACGGTGAGGCTGGTGGTCACAGATTCAGCCTCCTCCCAGGACATATGGACAGCACATGCCACTGAGCACAGAGCAGAGGGGTGGGCCAGTGACCTTTCTGAGGGGGCCAGGACTGTGCCAGGCGGGCCCTCCTCTGTGCCCCTCCTGGTGCCCTTGGGCCACCCAGTGATGGGCTGGGAGCCCACTGAAAGGAGACAGGTGGACCTGGGGTCACTTTGCACCCCATATCTGGAGCATTCTCTGTGGAGGGAGCTGCAGGGTGTGGGTGGCTCAGATGTCAGGGGCAGAGGCCAGGGGGCTCCTGAGGGAGTTGGGGACAACATCCGATCTGGTCAGGAGGCCCGTCCAACCCCACTTCCCTGACCCACTTGTCTAGGACCATCCATCCAGTAGCCAACAGGGAGGTCTGCGCTGCCTCCCAGCCCCTGAGGAGAGGAGCTCCAAGGAAGCAGGGTTGTCAGGGCATGGGGCACGTAATGGGTTTCCAACCAGCTCAGACACACACTCACAGGAAAAAAGGACAAATCTCCTCCTTGGGATTCATATCCCTCAGCTGAAGTTCAGGGCTTGTCACAACATACCACAGAAAAGAGCTGGAAATATAGGGTAGGATGATGGACAGAGGAATGTTGAGATCCTGGTGGATGGAGGACTTGGAAGTGTTGGGATCCTGGTGGATGGAGAACTTGGGAGTGTTGGGATCCTGGGCGGATGGAGGACTTGGAAGTGTTGGGAATCCTGGGCAGATGGAGGATTTGGGAGTGTTGGGAATCCTGGTGGATGGAGGACTTGGGAGTGTTGGGATCCTGGTGGATGGAGGACTTGGGAGTGTTGGGATGCTGGTGGATGGAGGGCTGAGGAGTGTTGGGATCCTGGGTGGATGGAGGACTTGGGAGTGTTGGGGATCCTGGGCAGATGGAGGACTTGGGACTGTTGGGAATCCTGGGCAGATGGAGGATTTGGGAGTTTTGGGAATCCTGGTGGATGGAGGACTTGGGAGTGTTGGGATCCTGGGTATATGGAGGACTTGGGAGTGTTGGGATCCTGGGTGGATGGAGGACTTTGGAGTGTTAGGATCCTGGTGGATGGAGGACTTGGGAGTGTTAGGATCCTGGTGGATGGAGGACTTGGGAGTGTTGGGATCCTGGGTGGGATGGTGGAGGGTCAGGGCTAAGGAGGGGAACAGATGGAGGGAGCAGGAGGGGTTCTCCATTCCCACTTGCTGGGTGTCACCCTGGGCGGAGACCCATCCCCTGCAGGGGCCCTGTGCCTTCTCTCTCGCCCCCTCCCCTCTGCCTTGTTTTCACTGCCCAGGCTTTGGGGGCTGTGACCTTGGTGCAGGTGCACCTGGAGCTTTCTGCACAGCCGCAGGCCCTGCTGACTCACACTGGATGGATTTATTGTGGGCTCACCTCAGTTTGGGCATATTTGGATTGAGAATAACTTAATATGAGGTCTATGAAAATCGCTTCAAAATCCATTTCCTTTCTCATATTTTTGTTCTTGGAGCTCTCAACAGACAAGGATTGCCTTTAAGAATGAAGTAAAGCCTTCCACCCTCCTCCCGGGGAGACGTTCTGATGTCAGCGGTCTGATGCTGTTGGAGACCAAGGCGAAACCTGGCCTCTTGTCTCTTTAAATCGGCTCTGCAGTGTGACGGCGGCGGCCACCCGCGGGCGGGTGGGCTGGGAAGAACCATTCCTGCCTGCCGCAGGGAGCTGGCCACCGCGTCGTCGCCGCCACCCACCCCCCAGTCCCCATGGTGACGGCTGCTGCTCCTTGGCCGGCCGTCTCTCACCCGCGTCGCCGCGGAAGGCGGGCGCAGCTGCAGCGCTGGCTCTGGGAGCCACCCGCCAAGATCACGGTGGCCGCCCGCCCTGCCGGCCCTGACTCACCCCTCCTGAGCAGAGCGCCGCCGCTGCGGAGCGCTCTCCT